CAGACACTTCACCATCATTCCCACCAAACCCTACACCTTCACACCAGCTGCTTCACAAATTTCCTGATCCTGACTGGAAGGCATCTGAGCTTGCAGCCACAGGGCTAGCAGCTCTAGTCCTGATGCCTTCATGTTCTTCTGCATACTATCAGGTAATATGTGTTTAGCACCAAATAACTACTTAGCATTGACTACAGTGATGGGCTGTAGGGAAGGAGAAGCAGCCAGCTTTGAGCTGAGCACAAACACACGGGTCAGGGTTGGATAGGCAGAAGGATGAGGCGAGGGCACCCCGAACGCAAGGTTATACCCACAGCAGGGGTCAGAGTGATATGGGCCAAGTGGCTGGAAAATGCAGGATGTGTTCCAGGGAAAGGGGGAAACCAGGTTGGCTTTCAGGGAAATTATCTTTGAGGCAAAGAGGGAAATGAGGCAACAAAAACCTCATGAGAATATTAAGCTGACATCCAAAAACAGGAAGGCAGGTGTGGCCAGTCCCAAACCAAATAGAGTTCGCCACTCACCTCTGTTCTTTCAACTATGAAGTTAGAATAAGGTGATCATACATTAATGAAATGTGGATGCTATGGCTCTGTGAGCAGAGTAATAGTACTTCTATTTATATAAAACTAAAGTACTATAGGGCCACATGAAATAATGCAGTGAAACCCCCAGGTGTCTAACAGCAGCGTGCCGAAACTGGTATAGTGATTAGGAACACAAGCTGAGGAGTCAGACATGGGCTCAAAGCCTGGTCTTAGGACTGGTGGTGAGAGGCTATAGAAATGCTGCTTCTGAGCCTGAGTTTCCTCATCCATAAAGATACTCACAGTCTTTACTCTGTAGGTTTGCTGTGAGAATCAAATGAGAATCCACATAAAATGCTCTGACAGCGCCTGACCTAAAGAGAGCACTAAATAAGCATTACTTGTTATTATTAATATTATTACTATATAGAATTTAACTTTGTTAATACAAAATACTGTATCTAAGTAGCAGAATACTGTGCAACCTTTAAATATCTTGCAGCAAAAGAATATTTACTTACATAAGAAAGAGGCCACAATTCACTGACAAGCCAGGGAGGGGAAAGCATGCTGCAAGCAATGTTAAGATTTCCTGTGCATGCCCTGACCCATATGGCTCAGTTGGCTGGGCGCTGTCCCACCAGCCAGCAGGTCTTGGTTCAATTCCCAGTTGGAGAACATGCCTGAGTTACAGGTTCGGTCCCTGGTCGGGGCACATACTAGAAACAACAGGTCGATGTTTCTCTCCCTCTTTTACTCCCTCCCTTCCCCTCACTCTAAAAATAAATAAATAAAATCTTAAAAGAAAAAAAAAAAGCTTTCCTGTGCATGATTTGGAAGTCAAAACAAATATGCATAAATGCAAAAACTGTAAAAACACAAACTGTTTTTACCTCTATGTTTTTTCTGTTTCCTAAGAGAAGGAAACCAGTTATTTAATAATAAAATAAGAGTAACAACACTACCTTCACTTTGGGTAAGGCTTCCCATTTTCCAAAGCTTTTTCATATGATCTCATTTTTACGCTAATGTAACTTTTAATGGCAACTATTAAACTGCTCTTCTGCTAAATGCCTGTAAGTCAAAACCCTGGAATCCATCCACCTACCCCCAAAAGGACAATCTTTCACTAACCATCTCTAAAGAGACCATCTTTCACTGTTGCTAATAATCAAGCAGCTGGTTTTCCCCACTCTGACAGAGCAGAGACACATAAATCCATTTTTATAGCCAGCACTTTTACAAGTCTTTCTGAGAAGTGAGGTTTAAGTTAATGATGTAATGTGGTAAAGTAGTATAAACCATTAGCTAAATCAGTGGTCTGACCCACACATCCCAGGGCCTGGCTCACCTTTTTTGGCTGTAGGATAAGTGTCCATCATCACGGTTCTCCCTGCACTGAGGTTCCATGGTAAGACTATGAGCTGCTTCCCCATCAACCACTCTCTCCTTCTATTTTGGTAACAGATCTGATTATTAGCTGCACCTGCTGCACCCAGAACAAAATCCTCCACCTCCCAGCCTCTCCTGTACTAGCCATGGCTACACAATTACATTTGGACCAATTAACGTAAGCAGATGTGTTGTGCTGAACTTCTGAGAGGTTAATGGGAAAGAACTCCGCTACAGGAGCGCCTCTGAGCTGCTTTCCTCCTTCCCCAGGCCTGTGACTTAGACCAAAGAACGGTATCTTGGACGGTAAGGTGACCCCTGAGGGGTACAAGCAATGGCCGGGGACGATGGAGTGCGAAGTAGGGAACTGGGTCCCTGATGACACTGTGGAGATGCCCTGAAGCCCTCCAGACTTCTTTTCAAAGCCAAATTAATATATACCTTGTTTTAACCAATGTTATTTTGTTTTGTTTTTTTAGGTTATGTACAGTCAAACCTAAATTTATTGCAGATTATATGTCAACATAGGATGCTTTATGCTATGCAGATTCACTGCCACTAAACAGCATATGACTTTTTTAAGTAGGTGACCAAGATGATAAAAGATTTTAATAAATCGCTTCTTTAGTGAAACTTTTGTAATAGCTAGAAGTTTATCACCAACTACTTTTTTTTTCCAACAAAGACATCATCCATATATATGTATACTCTTTTCTCTAGAGGTTCAAAATCAACTAACACATGTAATTCATAGAATTCTGCCCTCACATGACACTGACCGAAACCCAACTCTCTGGAACCCCTAGTAAAGCCAAGAGAGACAGGACAGTATCCCCAGGTCTGCAAAGCACAGCAAAGTTATGCCTCTCCAACTGAAGGCAAAGAAGAAGCATAACATTTTTGAAATGGCTTCCAAGTCATGTACACACAGCAATGAAATAAGAACAATGGTGTCATCAAGGCTCATATTGGATATGCTGTATACAATCCCAGGCAAACAGCCATCCACAGCCAATTGCCGAGGAGGGACCCCACCTCACAGGTGAGATTTACAGCCGACATCAGCACCAACACCAACCATGGAGCCCAATGGACCTAATACACTTCTGGACATCAGTTGTCTTGATGAGGTCCTTTAAAATGCTACCCCATGTGTAAGTCCAACACATGCCACAATACACACCTGAGGCTCCCCCTTGGCAATCCTAGGACTCATTTAAGGATTTAGAAAGGGTCAGGGCTTTGTCTCCTGGGTGACAAAATGACATTCAGATCTCTTGCCATCTCCTGCTAACAGCAGAACCCTGACGAGTTGGCTTTTCCTTCCTAAGAGCTTAGGCTTTCAAACACAAATCTCATGAAAGGTAAAACCTTGTATTTATAGCTTGAAATTGCACCTAAATTTAAAACTTCATGCAGGAAATGATTAACTTTCACAATTCCATCATCCTAGCCCAAGTTTTTATATGGGCTCAATTATATAAGGTTAAAGTACTTTACTTAGTTTCCCAACATGATAAAGATATAAGAAAAAAAATAAAGATGATTCAGCTTCTATATCATTTTTGTAACAATATATCTTATTCTTACCCCATTGTCCAAAGCAATCTCTAGGTAGAAATTACTTTGAAAGGGCGCCACCAAAAGTTTTAATGTATCGAATATAGTTAAAGAACAGAATTTTAGAGGCCCATATGAGAATAATCGTAGGGTAAAGAGATAAAATAATGGCGGAAGGAAAAGAAAAACCACATTTTATTTTATGGAACTTAACTCCTTCACATGCATTATATCTAAAATACATACCTAATATTCCATACTGTGAGAGTACAGTTTCATACAAGAATGAATTGAAGGGGAAGAAGATGCAGGTGGAAGAGGTAAGGGTAATAAAAGCTACTAAAAGTAAATTGGAAAGTATACTTGTATATATAAAAACCATACATGCTCTAAAAATGTCTGAAAGGAATGCCAAATGTAGTCGTTATACTCCCTGAAGGAAAACCTTATAGTTTATTTTTTTTCTTTCTGTTCATCTATACTTTCTAATTTTTGTACAACAAAAACACTTACTACTTACATAATTTTAAAATGGGTTTTCTTAAACAGATTCACAATAGCATCAACAAAAAAAGTCAGACACATCTGGAACAGCCCTTAATAAAACAAAGCCTGAAGGATTTCTGGGCTCAAAGCTGAAGGATACAGAGGGTGAAGTTCCTGGGCCCACGAAACCCCCGAAGTCCTAACGCCCCCTCCTCCAGACAGGGTGCTCACAGCGGTCTGAAGTATATACCATTTACCACACAGTTTAGTGAAGAGACAACACAATACCACACGAAAGAAGCGTATTTCCAGTACCTGCTGATTCAGCCAAAGAAAGACACGGAAGTTATCTACCAACTCACCACTTAATTATGTCTAACACTCGCTTTACAATCCAGTTTATGGATTCCGGAGGTTTAATAAACAGTTCCTTCTCCATGCCCTGCCATTAAATACTAGGTAGTTATGACAGTTAATTAACACTACCCCTAGGCTATCAGGAGGTCTGTAATACTGCCAGCCAGGTCATGCTCTCCAAGTTGACACTGCCACCTGAATCAGCCTCACAGCTTAAACAACATGCCTCCTCTCCCTTAGCGCCCCTTCTCCGGTGGCCACCTCAAGTTGGGTGCTTAGACAGAAACGCAAACAGGTGGTATGGGTGTGTTTCACCTGATATTCCACAAAAGAGGAAAATCCCTTTTGTGATTACAGAGACACTTCTCTGAAGGGGAAAAATAAATCCATGTTGCTGCGCGGTGCTTTCACACAGCACATCAGAATTTGACATTGCGAAACTTGCCTACTAACGTGCGCTCAGGAACATCCCAGCCCTTTGGGTGTCTTGTTCTTCTCCTCCTAAACCAATTTTCCTGGCTCTCATTTCAGCCCTACATCTCAACTCAAGGACGGAATGGCTTTAAGCAAGGAGTTTCACTGCCCACTAAGGTTCCTTTAGGAATCCACTCCAACTGAAGCCACAGACTGAGTCTGAATGTGCCCTTAAGCCCTCCAGCCCTCTCCCTTCATACTCACTGTTGCTGGACTTAAGGTCGCGGTGGATGATGGGGACAATCGCCTCATCATGTAAGTAGTTCATCCCTCTGGCAATCTGCACAGCCCAGTTAACCAGGATGTCTGGGGGGATCCTTTTCCCAGATAACACTCTATTCAAAGGTCCTCCGCGGGCAAACTCCATGACCAAGCAGAGGTTGGGTTCCTTCAGACACACCCCCCGAAGAGCAATGATGTTGGGGTGCTTCAGCATGGCAAAGAGCTTGGCCTCCTGGCGGACGTTCTCTATGGTCTGGCTGATGTCCTCATCAGGATCGTGGCGAGCTGCTTTCACGGCGACCTCATCCCCTATCCAGAAAGCACGATAGACCTTCCCAAAGCCCCCGATGCCAATAATCTCTTCCAGAGTTAGCTCCGCAAAATCAATCTCTAACACTGAGAAAGAGAAGGGAAAAAAAGCACATCAAAAACATTCTGAGAACATCATCCAATCACCCATTTATCCAAATGAGAAAACACAGCGAGTGGTCTGTTCATTTGGCTTTTTTGCCTTCCCACTGCAAGGTAAACTCCATAAGGGCAGGAAATATGATTAACTTACTCTCTGTGACATTATCCTCAGTAACTAGCCCATAAATCTTGGGCTAGATATGGTACTGTTACATGAACAAAGTGCTATGGTATATATATCTCATGAAAACCCTGTTCTTTATCTTCTCAGTCTTACTGTCTTTACCTGGTTTATTCATGCTTCTCTCTCAGGTCTCAGCTTAAACATCAATTTCCTAAAGGAACTTTTCCTAACTCCCAACTAAATATGATCAAGCTCCCCTCAAACACTTCCATAGCAGTCTCTATTTGGCAAGACTCAACACAGTTACAATTACTTATTCAATGCCTGCTGTCCTGCTAGATTGCAAGATCCACAAGGGTGGATTCTGTCTCCCTTATTCACCACCATACTCATCATGCTGAATATTCAGTAGGTTAAGTAAAATGGGGGAGGGGGTGTGGAATATACCTCAGTAGTAAATAAACCAAACTTAGGTCTGAAAGAAGAAATTATATTGGACCCCCTAAAACAAATACAGAGAATAGTATGTACTTTAGCAAAACACACACGCACACACACACACATACACCCCAAAAATATTTTTCCTAAAAAATTTAGAAAACAAAAATTTATTTCTGAACTTTAGGCAAGACCAAAAGGGGAACCGCCCACTGCCTGCTTCCACAGCCAGCCCCATTATGATTCCCTTCTCCACTTGGATGTTGGTGGTGCTCCAAACTCTGTTCTTGCTTAATTGTAGTGTTTCTCTACTATCAAGGGCTGATATTCATTTGTATTTTGTAATGCAACTGGTAGTCTGTACAAAGAGAAAACTCTTAGGAAAAGTTAGTTGGACTTTTTTTCTTTAGATTTTTATTTATTTATTTTTATCGCCTTTAGAGAAAGGAGAAGGGATGGAGAAAGAGAGGGAAACATCAATGAGTGTTTGCCTCTTGCGCGCCCCCTACTGGGGACCTGGCAGGCATGTGCCCTGAGTGGGAATCGAACCAGTGACCCTGTGGTTAGCAGTCCAGCACTCAATCCACTGAGCCACACCAGTCAGAGCTGGACTGTCTTTAAATATATAAAAAGTATAACCATCTTGACTCTAAAAGTTCTAAGTGTTCAAGCTTATCACCCCATCCAGCATTCTTCCTAAAGAATATATGGTATGGCAGGTCCTGCAGACTAGCAATCGGCATCCTTTCTAAAATCTTTCTGGCATGCGTTACAGGACTACAAATGCCAGAAAGCTAAAAACTGCATTTCCCAGACTCCCTGACAGCTGGAGTTCTGGGTGCAGATTAGGTTCTGCCAATTAGATGCAGAAGATTTAGAAGGCAGAAGTGAGATGGAGACCATCTTCTTGCTGCTTCTCTGGGCAAGCATGGCAGTGGAGAAGCAGGGTTTTTCTGCAACAGCACATCAGTGTCCAGTCATTAGCTAAGGATGTGGAGAGGCATGTTGTAAGGCCAAGCTGTTGACTAATCTTGGACTGCAACAACAACCCAGTGTTCTTGAAGTGGACGGCTTCAGTGACAACTCCCGATTCTGTACATTCCCAATTAGAGAAGTAGCAGCTTGCCTGGTGGGCCTGGTCTGCAATGTTCTAGAAATTTTTCCCTCCTGGTCATCCCTTCTCGCTACCCTTTCAATAATTCTGTAAGCACCTAATTTTCTGAGCTAGAGCACTTTCTGCTTAAATAGTTTGGAGTGTTTCTAGGTCCTAAAATGGTCTGCCATTACTAATTTTTGCCTTATCTCAACCATATGAATGAGAAAAAAAAATGCCTATGCAAAAGAGAGATCAAAAACCCTCCTGAAGAAATGCATGTTACATTAGCAGTCTCTTAGATGACGGAGGGAAGGAACAATCATTTTTTTCCTACCAGCTTTTATACGTCTTACTTCTTTAACTGAATATCTGAATTCTTCTTAAGGGAATGAACTGTAGTATCTTTTCTTGCACCCTGCCTTCTTCCCTTTGGTCTGAAGTATAGTTGTGAGCACACAAGAGGTATTAAATATTTATTTAAATGTATGAGGATTTAAAAGATGGGATTCTGAAGTAGGGTGCTGAAAGGACAGCTCCTCTGGTGGCATTTTGCAGAAGACAGAAAACCTCTGTGGGGAAGGCAAAGCAACAGTCTTCCTCTTGGTAGAACACAAATGCTCAGGGTCTTGCTATTTAGTTAAGAAAATATTATGACCAGACTTCAAGAAAAGTATAGAACGCAGCTTACAAGCAGATATAAGACAGAACAGAAGGGGACATGGACAAGGGAGGGAGGTACTTCCTTTTCCCTTCCCTGCTAAGAAGAACTAGACCTTCAGTTGCACAGGAGAGGATGTGGGTGGGACTCTCCTCCCCTTCCCTGCTCCAGTCAAGACCTGGTTTTAAGTAAGAATCAGGTCAAGTCGCATTCATCACATTTTCCAGTTTCTATGGAAGGATATTTCTAGGAATATCAGGAACAAAACCTTATTTCTTTCATTTTTGGAGTCAAGATGTTATTCCCTCTCAATGGTATTCTTGGAAATGAAATGTATAGGCATATTCTGGTGGGTTTTGGCAAGTGAGTGGTACATATCTCACTCATTTAAAAATCTTAAGTACATTGGAAAAGGCACCCTTATATTCCTAATGGGTGCAAGGAAAAAAGTAAATTTGTAATAACCTTACTATATGCCCTGCTTGAAAACAGATAAAACTCTCTTATAGGAGAAACTTTTAAAAATACCTATATATCTCTCCCAAGATGATAAATTTGGAACTATATTTTTCATCTTTTTCTAAAATAAGGAAGGTGAGAGAGTTCTTGGGCTATTTTTTTAAAGATTTTATTTATTTTTTAGAGAGAGAGGAAGGGAGGGAGAAAGAGAAGGAGAGAAACATCAATCAGTTACCTCTTGCTCGTCCCCAATCAGGGGCCTGGCCCACAACCTAGGCATGTGCCCTGACAGGGAATCAAATGGCAGCCTTGTGGTTTGCAGGATGATGCCCAACCACTTGAGCTATACCAGCCAGGGCATCTCGTGGGCTATTTTTGTCAGCTCCATGGAGAGTTTTACTCTAATGTCTACACTGGAGGAGATAAAAGTACTATATAAATGTCAGCTGACTTATAATATTGCTGTTATATTTTTCTTTGTCATAAGATTTAATAATTTCCTCTTCTGTTTTGAATAAAGTTTGAAACAAAATTTTCACTTTGAAAGCAGTATTTAAAACTAAAACAGAACTTACTACTCAGTGTTTTCTGTTCACAATCTAATGTCACTATTCATATCCCAAGAGGGGAAGTTCAAAAGGGTAACCTGGCAAAAGCTATCAGTGGCTCATTGTCATTCCAAACCTTTGGAGAAAGGGTGTCAATCACCTTTAATTTCTCAGTGACACTAAGTGAACTGACAGACATTAGCATACAGACCAGAAGCACACCTGTCAGCAACTTCCCCTGTTCACCTTTATCAAAGCACTGCACTGAAAGTAGGTATTTACATCACCCATCTCCCTCATGTGTGACTTAGAAGCACCTCCATAGCTTATCACTTCTTTATCCCTGGGTAATTAATACAGTATTCATTTTTCACTAGGCCCTCCAAATGGTCTTTGACTGGAACTACATTTTCTGAAGCATCAAGAATTCATTCCAGTCAAGATCGGAACTCCTAGTGACGCTAAAGAACTTACCAGTACCTTGAAGTGCCACGTTCATCAAGTCAATTCTTTCTATAAGCACACAGTACTTCCTACTTTCTCACCATCTCAACTCCAGATATAGGAATCTACTCTGTGCAAGGTAACTTTTGTTCAATAAAGATTAAGTCCTGGGCACTTAAAGGAGAAGGAACATCTAATGTGTAGCACATTGGACATGTCTGGCTTTCTGTGGACGGGTTTTCCCAGACTAAGTCATATTCACTCCTGACTGCTCTGACAGCAGGGAGCACAAGGCAATGAAGAAACTGAGTTCCTGCTAATGAGTCTCACTCAGCCTTCTGTTCTGACATTAGCTGTTCCTGAAAACAAAAAATCACAGACTTTGCTCAAAAACACTGCAAAATCTGACTTATGCTTAAAACTACACTGTTTTCTAACACACCAGGCCATCCTTCCAATATTTCTTCCAATGTGTGCCCAAGCTCATCTTCAACTATTTCAGACATTATGCTGGGACCCTTAGCCTTTATCTTCTCAGTACTAATGCCAGAAAGATATAACATCTAGAAACAACGTAAAGTGATTTGTTGCTTCCAGTACTATCAAATATAGAAACAATGTTGTTAATTGAATGAGAGGGAGAGAAAAAAGAAGGGAACTAAAAATTTGAACATCAATTTGACAGTCAGAATGCTAGTAAAAAAAGAGTAGAAAAACAGGGTAAAAGATTATGAATTTGATATTAAGTAATGGTATTTAATAAATATTGTAAGATAATCACTCAATACAGGGCCAGAAGGTAGCTGTCACGAATGAAATTTTAAAACTAAATGTGTGAAGTTGGCCATTGTTGAAGATTTTTTTCATCAACTAAGATGCAAAGTGTACAAAATATGGAATAAAGAATGATAAATATGTATTAACAACACTTTTTTAACAAAAGAAATTATGGAAATCCTCAAATATATAATATTGCAAACTGTACCAGGATTTTTCTACATCTTTCTGCTAAAACCACTTAGCATCATTGATTAAGGGATTTTAATAGCAACGTAACTCCTCTGAAAAAACAAAGGAAATTTCATTACAGGGTGTGGAACAGGGGACTCCTGGGAAATTGGCAAAAACCAGGACACTGCAAGAAAGGCCCTGGAAGGGACCTCTGGGCATGGGCCTCCTGGGATTTAGCAAATACCAAATATAGGCAAGGATCTAGGGTGAGAAGAAAAAGGGAAACGTATTGTCTTAACATGCTGGGTGTCCAGGGACTAGGATTTTGCCACTGTACCTTGACCTCGTGCTCTCTCATGGGAGAATGACATACTTTTCCCTCTCTAATCATTTCTCCACCCATCACCTGCCCCTCCACACAACACACACCCTTCTTAGCACATTATTCAGTGAGACTCCTGAAGGTACAACTTCTGAGTTACAAGGTTAGGATCCAAGAAGTCCACACGACATTTCAAAGACACTTCAGCCCTGAGTTCATGCAGGCTTCCGGGACTTGCGAGCCAACCCAGCCCTTCGGGAGGCAACCCCATCTCCTTCAAAGCAAATGCCTTTAAGAGGCGGGGACAGCAGACAGAATGGGCCGGGAGGTCCCAGACTTGGGGACTAAGGTTACCACAGAATCCACCAGCTCGCCTGAAATCCTCCCAGATTGTTTTCGGAGAGGGCGGGGGTGGGAAATGGGGGGATTCTCATGCTGGAGCTTCAGGAATGGAATCAGCAGTTGCTGCTGAGGTGGTCAGATGAAGGTAAAGAAGCCCAAGCGCCTGAGGTTCCAGGCAAGGCCTGCGGCGTCTCTATCTTACCCACAGCACCCACGAAAGCCCCCTTAGCCCCAGTGTGCGTGCGTACACACCCACCCTCTAGGTCAACCATTCCCCATCCTCAACCTAACCCTCGAGAAGGGCTCCCATCTCTCCGCGACCACCCCCAGGCCGCGATCATTCCCCCCTCCCCACCGGGGTCCCGGGCCCCGCCTTCGTCTTACACTGAATGGGCGGGTAGCAACTGGGGTCCTCGCCGCCGGGCTGGCAGCGGCTGGAGAAGGCGCTGCGCGGGGTCACATAGTTGCTGGGGAAGATGCCCACCCGCTGGTTCAGCTGCCCGGTCCACCAGCCCTCGTCGCCGGACACCTGCGAGTCCTTGGACAGCACCTCCACGACGTCGCCCAGCCGCAGGGTCAGTTCGTCCTCGCCCGCCGCCTCGTACTCGAACACGGCGGTCCAGTAGGGCAGCGGCGCGTCGGAGCCCAGCTCTCCGGGGGCCACCGCCGCTTCCTCCTCCTCTTCCTCCTCCTCCTCGGCCCCAGCCCCCGCTCCATCCTCCCCCGGCGGGGCGGCAGCGGCGGTGCTCGCCAGGCAGCCGAGAAGCGCTCTGGAGGGCTCCATGGAGCGGCCGATCCATAGGGTGCGGGGCTGCCGCCGCCCGCAGGAGCCGCCGCCGCCTATTGTTCATGCGGCTCCGCAGAGCTGGGGGGACCCCCTCCCCCGACGGCGGCCGCAGGTAGGGCCCGGGATGGCGGGGCAGAGAGAGCGGGCTGCCTGGGGGTAACGCGACAAGTGCAATGAGCGCTGGTGCTCACCGCGGCATGGGGGCGCCGTGGGTCGGAGCCCCCGCCTGCGCGCTCACCCCCTAGGGGCCGCCTGCCTACCTCCGCCTAAGCTACCTGCTCCCGCAGCCGGTGCCCGCCGCCGCCCGCCAGCGGCACCTCCCCTCTCCGCGCCGCGCCCCGCCCCCAAAGCGGCCAGCCCGCCCCGGACCACCTGACGCGGACCTGGCTCCGCCTCGGCCCTGCGGACCCGAAGGGCGGGGCTTCCCGGCATCCGGACCCGCCTCTGCACCAGCCCGCCTTCCCATTGGCCGCTGCCGACCAGTTCGCAGGTTCCCCCCCGCCGTGGTTGGAGCACCTCAGCCAGGCGCCCAGTCCGCCCCTCCCCACCCCCTGAGCCTACGTCATCCGCCCCCTCGTTCCCGCCCTCTTTTGCGGGCTCCCTCATTCTCAAATCCCAGGTCACGCAGTGCTCTCTCCCATTGGCCAGCCGCAGCTCCAACCATTGGCCCGAGGTACCTGTCCATTTCCTGGGAGAGTTCCACACCTCCCGGCTGGAGGAGACTGCAGCCTCATTGGGTGCGTGAGGAGGGATGGGTGTATCGTAAAGGATAAAGCCGAGACTTCATTCAGTCCAAAAAGGCTGAAGGATCCTCTTCCTTTTGTTTGCGGTGGACGGGTACGGGCTCTGTTAGGCAGCACCGGTGTTTTCCACCCTACAGTGAGCTTCTGAAAGTGAGCGAAAGAGAAGGGAGCCGAGTTGCACCCCCTGAGAGAGCTTGTTCTTCTCCATCGCCCTCTTACAGTTGGATTCTCCCCTCTTGGATCTGCCTTTGCCCTAATCCAACCAGGTGGATCAGCTTCAGCTCCCACTCGACTGAATTACATCCCTCCACCACATCTCGGTAACCTTTCATTTCCTATTTTAAGGCCCTTTGGAATGTTTTTTAGAAACTCTTAAAACAACAGTTCTTGCCTTTATGAAGAGGGCACGCCGACCTCCCTTTCCTGGGCGCCTGAAAGTAGAGATTCCAATACAGTGGTTTTTAGACTTTAGAAAGACGGGACACCACCTTACAGGGGCTTCAAAATGAAAAACTATGGCGAAAACGGCTTAGTCCCTCTGAAGAGACAACTGTTTTACAACCATGGGTTTCTTTCGCCTGGGTGAACTGCACGTCGGATCATGGTGACCTATATAGAAATCAGGTTAAGAACCAAAGTAGACAAAAGAAAAGAAGAAGAAAAAGAGCCAAAGTAGAACATACATACAAGATGATGCTGTTGTTCAAGACGATGCTGCAGTTCATGACCGAGGGCTGACTATTTTCTCCATCCTTTTGTTATCCTCTGTTTCTCAAACATTAAGAAGACATGAGACAGGTGGTCCCTACTATTTCTTCTGCATTTTAGTCCTATCATAGCAATGAAGATTTCCAATGAGAAGGTTTTCTGGCGTTTCAAAACAACTCAGTGATGCAAGATCTAGCCCAATCTCTACCAAGCTGCCTTACCCTTTCCCCTTTAGTGGTAAGAATAGATACAATTTACTTAGCAAGAGTTAGTGTTTCACTGAGTATTTTTTGTGTAATTTTATTAACAGTTTAGGTTAATTCTTGAACAAACTGTGGAGGCAGTGGGGTAATTTGAAAAGATAGCAGGGCCGGCATCTTTGGCCCCTTTGCCAGCAGCTGCATGATTTGGGGGAAGTACTAACATTGTGGTTCAATGTGCTCATCCACAAAGTAAGCGGGTGGACTGGAAGGTCTCCTGTGTTCTTATAGGCCTGACATTCTGCAGTTTGCACATGAGTATGGCTACACTGTACACCCATACATTTGAGGTCTTGAAGAAGAGAGGTTTGAGTGCTGTTCTAAAGTGTCCAGAGTAGGTATGGAAAAAGGACTTCTCAGCAGATGCCCTAAAACAATGTTTAGATTCTTCTTGCTCATAGGTTTGGTGAACTGGGAAAGATAAGGATGAGTGTTTGAGTCAATTCTCTAGGTTTCGTTTAAGACACACTCTTCCACCCCCTAGCAGAACAGAGCAGGATAATGGAGTTAGAGGTATTTTGTGTTTTAAAAAGACCTTAAGGAAAAACGTTTTCTTGATAAAAATTTATTTGGGAAGTAAAAGGAATTTTACAAAATGGAGTAAATATACACAGAGAGAAACAGAAAAAGAACCATTAGAAAGATATAGAGAAAAATTTTCAGTGGTAGATCTCTTTCAAGTAGTAGGATTAAGAGTAATTGGGCAATTTTTATTGTCATTTTGTTTATTCATAATTTTTATGTGTTACTATATAGTTTTGTGGCTCTTCACTTCTCCCCACCCAGAGGAGAAGGGAAAACATTTCTTGATCTCTCTCAGTAGGAAGAGTCTAACTCCCCTTACAATTTAACTCTTTAATACCACAGCATATCTTTAGAACCTCATGAAGAATCATTCATCAAACATTTCAAGAAGGCTTTCAGTAAATACTTGTACAATGGATAAGGCATAGGAATTCAAATGAGGGAAGATTCTTCAGGCTATGTGTCTAGCAGGGTTCCATGGAACAGGCAGAACCAAAACCAGTCCTGGAGGGGTATGGGATGGAGCCAGTAGGAACCTGTGCTCAGGAAAGGAGGGAGGGTGTGGGCATAGCCAGAGGTAGGAAAGCCCATTAGGATGGAATAAAAGGAGGAAAAAGAATTCTGAAAAGATAGGTTCAAGCCAGGTTGCAGAGGGCCTTATAATCACTTGATTTACACTAATAACTACTTACTGTATTTTGCCATATATAATATATACCATTTTGCCCAAGTTTTTGAGGGAAAAATAAGGATGCACATTATACATGGTTAGTGCCTGAAATACCTTGTATCTGTTCTTGTGTTTTGTAATTATTTGTTACATAAAATTTCTTGTACCATAATATGTTCAAAAATAAATGCTAAAATTCCTTTATAATACAAAACACAAAGATCTAACTATAAGGAAATAAATAATTGAATCAAAAAATTAAAATGAAAGATTGTTTTCCTGAAAGTTTGGGCCAAAAACGTGGATGCGCCTTATACATGGCAAAATATGGGTAATTTGTTATTTGTAATGATTTCCTGTCCAGTTTGTTTACCATAAGGGCAGGGACCCACATGTCTGGTTCTCTACAGTTCTCCCTGCACCTAGAGAATGCCTAGCATGTAAGTGGCTCTCAGTATGTATTTGTGACTGAATAGTTGGCTTGTGTACCCAGTTAAGAAGCATTGGTTTTGTTTAGCAGATAAAGATTATCACTGAAAGCTTTTGAGCAGGGCTGGGGTAATCAAATGTTACTGTCGCTGTGCCTAGAAGGGATGAGAAATGTATAAGGAGGTGCTTAAGTTGGGCATTGAAGGATGTATACAACTTGATTAGTGTAGAACAGAAAATGTGAAACTAAAAATTAATGTAACAAAGAGCAATAATAGAAATACCAGCCTGAGAGAAGGAGAGAGTGCAAAAACGGAGCGATGGGAAATAAAGTTGACTAAATAAAGAAGGGCGGATTGCAAGAGACTTTGAAGGCCAGGTGGAATTACCAAGATTTTACCACAATTACATTCTTCAGCAGGGTCTTGACCGGCTTGGCTCAGTGGGTTGGGCATCCTCCCACAAAGCGAAAGGTCGCCAGTTTGATTACTGGCCAGGACGCGTGCCTAGGGTTGTGTGCCAGGCCACTGGTTGGAGACATGCTAGAGGCAACTGCTCAGTGTTTCTCTCCCTCCCTTCCCCTTTCTCTGAAAATAAATAAATAAAATCTTTTTTCAAAATTTTTAGAAAAGGTTCTTGAGCAAGGGTTGACAAATATCACCCCTAAAAAAGGACCATTTTCTCTACCTCATTGAAAAGTATAGCATAAGGCAAGGAGAATACAATGGCAGTCTATTATAGAGAATATTAGAGCACTTATCCATTCAACAAATATTTATTGAATGACTTCCTGAAATGTTTGATGAATGACTCCTCATGAGGTCCTAAACACATGCTATGGTATTAAAGATTTAAATTATCTGGGCAGTTAGTCTTTTCCTACTGAGAGGATCAAGAATTTTATATAATAGTAGTACAACTTGACACCACTAGACCTACATCAGAAGATCATGATTTATCGTGATTCTGTTCATTAAAAACCGTGTAACTTTGAGCAAGGCATCTGTTTGAGCCTCAGTTTCCTCATTTTTAAATGGGTATGAAACTGCTTCCTCTAGAGGTTTATAGGATTAAATGAAACAAAAGCTCTTAGCATGTGGCTTAGCATCTAACAACTCAACATATTTATTTCCCTCTTTCTTCTGCCCATCACCTTCAGAAACATCTTTAATTGCACCCTAGAAAACTGCAAAGGCTTCTTGACTAGAAATTGAGCAAGGGATAGTCCCTTTAAAAAGGAGACGGGGGATGGGAAAGGAAAGAAAAAAGAGAAAGAAGGAAGGAAGGAAGGAAGGGAAGGAGGATTGAACAATTTTTTAAAGAGGGAGGGAGGAAGGATAATGGGGTTAGGAGTGATTTATTTGTTCTTTGACCCAGAGTATTCAGTATTTTCTACCATTAAAATATGCTGATTTTTTAATCAAAAAGTATGTTATTGTTAATGATGATCATGAAGAATTTTAGTGAGCCCTGACCAATATAGCTCAGTTGGTTGGGGATCATCCCACAAAGCAAAAGATGGTTGGTTCTATTCCCTGTCAGGGCACATGCCTGGGTTGAGGGTTCAGTCCCCCTTTGGGTCATGCAGGAGAAACAACCCGATCAATATTTCTCTCCTTCTCTTTCTCCTCCTCTAAAAATAAGTAAATAAAATATTTTTAA